ACCAACAGTCGCAGAAGGATTTCCATTTTCATTTGCCATTTCTTACTGTCAACAACAGAAGAAATCAATTAATGGCAAAACTAAAACAGTAAATAATATTGTAATCAATAAACAGTACGTAATAAAAACAACTAAGGTTTTTATATACTGTTTTACAGAAAAACGATGAAGTTTTTATGTTCTTCAAATCATTTTCTGAATTTCAATATCCTGATGAAGTTTTTATATCTTCAAATCAAAATAGTAAAATTCAGACAAAATACATAACATAATAAATTTAATTTCCTTAAGATTGTTATATATCTGTATTGCTGAAAATAAATTAAATAATATCTTTCTGAAAACAAAAACAGAAAGTTAATAGAAATTAAATTCCGAAAAATAGTAAACTTCTTCAAAATAAATTCTGAAAACGTTGTAGGAACAAATCGAGCCCACTGAATACACAGTGTGTCTTTAAGGAAATTATTCCCCTCAAGTACCCGAGGTTCTGGAATATATCCTCCCAGGATAGAACGATTTAACTCACCAGTGTATCGGTACCTAAAACTCTGGTGATCGGCGATCCACTCGATGGTCGTAAAACACACCGAAGCCGAGCGAGCGACGACGACGACGGCGCGAGGCTTGCCTTCTTCTTAGCTCTTTAAGTTCCTTCTACCAATGAGGGACAAAGTGCATAAGTGAAATGAACTCATTCAAAATTTCACTTCCCTCCATTTCTTTTCCCACCATTTTCCATTCACACCTCTTTTGTTATTATTTATTAATAACAAACCCAATAATGCTTTCTTGAGCCGAGGGTTTATTCGAAACAGTCTCTCTACGTTCACAAGATAGAGGTAAGGTAATGGAATTTTATTGCATTTGTTGTTGTTGTAAAAATTATAAAGAGGAAAAAAGGAAAAGAAAAAGAAAGAAAACACCGATTTAAAAGGGGGAAGTTTCATAACTACACCAGCTTTAAAAACATTGCAAATTTACTACTCCTTTTAGGTTTAGGAGTTTTTTTTTTTTTTTAATAAAATTTTGATAGATTAAATAAATATAGTAGGTCATAAACGAGCTTTCGAACTCTATTTAGGTTTACGATTCTTTATTCTCCAGTTTATGGGTTTTTCCACAAATAAGAGTTAAGAATATATGAAAAAAGAAGAAACAAAATTACAAAGACGAAAACAAAGAAAAAGAAAGAAAAGACTGATTAAAAATGGGGAGTTTCGTCACTATACAAGCTTTAAAAAAACATTGAAAATTCATATTCTAATACTTTGTATTCCTTTAGTTTTAGAAGTCTTTTTTTTTTGTTAATAAATTTGTATTCATTATTCAACTTCGATAATTAGTTAATGAACTTCATCGTTTACTTGTATGGTCACAATTGGAATCGGTAACATTTAATTAATAAAAATATTCCCTCTATTTACCTTTATTTGTCCACAATGTACTTTGTATGCCCTTTAAGGAATGACAGATGAAGTGCATATTTTCCTACAGTACCCATAATAATAATAGTATTTTGAGAAGTCTTGGAAAATAATTTGTAAAATGAGTAATTAATGATAAGAGTAAAACAAGAAAAAAAAATATTGTTTCTCTTGATTTTTTAAAATTGATAAGTAAGAGTAAAAATATATTTTTAGCATAGTAGACAAATAAAAGTGAGAAACATTCTAAAACATACATGTCCTTATTTTTTAAAATCTTAATATAATTTTCATAAGATGAATTTAATAAAAAATATGGATCAAGTGACACTTCCGAAATGAAAGAACTACTAGGACAAGGTAGTACGTTAAAAAAAAAAAAAACTTCTCTTAGATTTTAAGGTAAATAATTATTGTCATTTTATAAATTAGATACAATTTAACTAATTAGTGATTGAACGATCTTCCTATTAGTGTTTTGCTACCTCCCTTGATGAACCTTCAACTATATCCCTAAGAAAAATAATCAATAATTCTTTTTTATACCAAATGTTAGGTGATTTTAATCAATGTTATTTATATTTGTTCTCCTTATACAAATGTGGCATTTATTTTAGCATCAAGTGCTATTTAACAACATTTGTTTTACTTGTATTCGATTTTTACTAATCGATGCGAAGTACATGTGCAACGCACGTACACTAAAACTAATAATTTATAAAAGCTAAGGTTTTTCTTTGAATAAATTTTTTATGTTATATTTACCTCTTTATAACAGTTTTTTACATGTAAAAGTAACATTCATCTTTATAGCAGTACACTCTTTGTAAAATTATCCATCTACCATAGTCATGTAGAATTTCAAAGATCACAAATAATAAGTTGAAATATTTGACCTCAACCTACTGCTACTTGGAATAAGATATAAGATTCAACTGTTAAGCTCCTAGAATGCCTTCAAGAGAAAGCTATCGGAATGTTCTTTTGCTAAAAGTTTGAATACAAATCTTCGTCAATTCAACGTTATATTGGTAGTAAGAGACTAGAATCTAAGGAACTAACTACAATTACAAAGTTCTTTCATCAATCTTGAAAAAAATATAATTTTCTAGTAGCTTTGAAATGTGTGTCTTAGAGTTTAAATCTTTTTTCATTTCGTTATTTATTAATAATTATTAACTTTTTACTATTTAATTAGTAAAATTTACATATCTTTTGAATATTTAAATTTGAATAATTCTTTTATCTTATGTATAACATTAAACAATAAAAAATAGATTTTTGGATAATTTTGGTTTATAATAGCCAAAAAGTAGTTAAATGTCAAAAAGTGTATAGGTATATAATAACCATTCACTATAAAAGTCAAGAAATATTAGAACAAACGATGCTATTATAAAGAGGTTTGAGTGTACTTGATTCTTTTTTTTTTTTTTTTGAAATTAACTTAAATATCCATCCACCCAACTATCTAACGCATAATAGGTATATAATCTTGTATAATCAATATATAATTTATGTATACGAGCTTAAAAAGTAAATAATTAATTCGACCGGCTATTTATAAAAAAAATCTTTTTTATTTATTGGAGTGAGGAATTAATAAAAGAAATAAAGTTTTTCTTTTGGTGAAAAGAAAGATGGAATCATTCCCAAAATTTTATTCCTTTTAGTGACCCCACAAAGTGGTTTTTTTTTTTATTCGGGAACAAAAAAGGGTCAAATAAGTCAAATGCTTCAGGACAGTCATCTACACAAGATGAGGACTAGAGGATAAAGGCAGCACAATTTCTTTTACAGAGTGGGTTTTATATTTAATATTACATCTAATTTATATTTTAGTAATAGCCACTCCCATTCTTTTGTTATCTTTTTTAATAATCCTACTTTGTTGAGTTTGTTCTTTTCTCTCTACACAGGTACACTGCTTTTTTTGAGTAATAAAAAAATGCAGTTGGTGTAACAAAAATCACGTGCTTATCTTAGAAGCTAGCCCAATAAGAATATAACAATTAAAAAAATATTTCGGTAAAAAGCTAGAAGATATATCGTTAGTGTTGTGCATAGTGTTTGACTGTTTTCGAATTATTTACATTCTTTGAAAGTTCATTACTTACGAAATTAAGTTTTATGCACTTGATATTAAAAAATATTTATACAATAAGATCATTTATAAGATTATTGTAAATCTATTAGATTAGCATTAATGACAATCTTGTAAAAATGATAATATATAACTTAACCCGTAATTTATTAGGTCGTATACATAATGACTTAATTTGTCAACCAAAAATTGAAAGGAGGAGTATTGAAGATTCTTAGAGCTCGTTTGGACATAAGAAATTTTTTCCTTTTCCCAAAAAAATTTCACTTTTTTCTGAAATCAGTGTTTATTCATAAAATTTTCAGTTTTCGCTTGAAGATACATTTTGGAAATTTTTGAAAATTTGAAAAACTCCAAAAAGTTGTTTTTCAAAATTTTCACTCAAATCACTCACAAAACTACAAAAACAACCCAAAGTTATATTCATGTCCAAACACAACTTTAATACATTTTCACTTGAAACTTTTTTTTCACTCTATCTTGGAATTTTACAATTCTTATGTCCAAACGCCCACTTAATTTCGTTATCGGATTTCAAATGCGTGATTAAGGTAAGTATGATGTGAGAAGGTACATTTTTAACCCTTTTAGCAGTAGCACGGTGAAACAGTGACGTTGCAGGTAAATCAGAGTAGATTTAACTTGTATATTGTGACACAGTAAAAATATTTAATTTTACTATTAATGTATTTTAACCTATTTTAGTGGAAACTTGTTATTTTTCAGGTTACTTATACTATATGGACGTTTATACGTAATTATTGTACCTTTTAGCTAATCTAATAATATAAAAATGTTTTTACACTATACAACAACAACAACAACCCAGTAAAATCTCACTAATAGGGTCTGGGGAGGGTAATGTGTACGCAGACCTTACCTCTACCCCGCAGGAGTAGGGAGGCTGTTTGCAAAAGACGCTCAAGACAAAGGACAAAAGGAGACAATATTAGTATCACCAGAGAAATCATAGGAAAAGTAGGAACAACATAAAATCTAGAAGAAAGATGCAAAGCAAAAGCGAAAGCGATGGCTAGTAAATATGTCATGCACTCGAAAGCGAAAATAGTAAGAGACAACATTGTCACTGGCTATTTTTAGACAACAAACCCTACCATACTAGTTCCACAATGGTATGGAGAAAGGCAATACTCAATTACATCCTAACCTACAACCCTAATACTCGACCTCCACATCCTCCTATCAAGTGTCATGTTCTCCGAAATCTGAAGTCTCGCCATATCCTGCCTGATCACCTCTCCCCAATACTTCTTAGGCCGTCCTCTACCTCTCCTCTCGCCTTCCACAACGAGACGCTCACACCTCCGTCTGGGCATCTCCTCTGAACATGTGTCTGTGTACAAAAAAATTACTCAACTACAATTATTTGAATGTATGAGTAAGTAGAGAATAAAAAAGCAGGAACTTCTCATAGTAAAGAAAAAAGCCAACGTTTCATGCATATTTCAACATACATTTTTTAACAATATAATTTTGATACCGTTCACGTAAAGCACTTTTCTTCGAAATTCTGCTTTTTCTCTTACAAATCTCCCATTTTTCATCATAATAAACAAAAAGAACAGAAATCTATGGCTTTTTCAATATATCATGATCATTTCTTTTTCTTTTTTATTTACCTCATTAGAAGATGCTGCAACTTTAATTAGTCTTCTCTTTATTCATTGAGCTTGTGTGCCAAATGGCCTAATTACATCTCAATTTCACTAGAACTAAAATCTCATATGATTAATGGAGATTCATTCTTGGCAAATATCAAATGTCCTATATATAAAGTCTCATATTTGAAAGGATTTCAATTTCAATCCAATTGTATTCCTCAAAATTTACATTTAGAAATACAAGCAGGGCATACTTACTGGTATTTGACAGATTTATTGATATGTATATGTACTTTCTTCATTTAAAAAGTATTCCATTTTGTTTAAATTCACTGCTAAATTAAGAATTTATTGATATGTATATGATTTTTCTGCATTATATTGCAGAAAAAAAAAAAAAAGAGTTGGTGAGTTAAGAAATGGCAGCTGATATCAGTGAGAAGTTGTTGAGTGATAAGGAAGTGAAGCTGAAGGACAAGTTATGGGACGAGACGAAGAAAATGTGGGTGATTGCTGCTCCAGCTATGTTTACAAAATTTTCGACGTTTGGAGTAACTGTTATAAGCCACTCATTTGTTGGTCATATTGGATCTAATGAACTTGCTGCTTATGCTTTAGTTAGTACTGTTCTTCTCAGATTTGGCAATGGCATTCTGGTACTTGTTCTATCTTTCCACCTTCTCTAACATTTATTGTCCATTACATTGAAATGTATTTGTTTGCAACAAATTCTCACAGGAAAATAAAATTGCAACCACAAACAACTATAAAGAAAAAAGGATTTTATTGAATAAACATTGCGAGTTACAACTCTGTTTATCCGTTGATTCTTCCCTCTGATTTGTTATCCTTAATTCGAGGGGCATGCTGGCGTATTTCTCGAACGTAGGATGATATGCATCTCCTTAATGTATTCGATGATCAAGAATAGCAACACTCTATTTGGATCTTGAATGTTGCTAGAACTTTAACCAAGATATATTTGACATGCCTTTGATCTCTTAATGAATATTCCAAGATTTTAATGGAATTTCGGAGATAGTATATTTAATCTCTTTGTGCATATTCCGGGAGTTTATGGAATTGCTGAGATCATCTTTGAAGGACATATATATGTAGCCTTATTAATGGGCATGAATTAAGATTTGAGTGGAGTAGCCACCTAATAACCCTAATAGACTCCTAATATTTCAAGAGTCGTGTTGTAGTGTTTTGAATTTATGATTATCTTGATCTGTTAAAATTTCAGTGTCTACAGTATTTAACAATAATCATGATTTATATTTGTGTTTGTTGAGTGACAAACCTTAGATCATTTTTGTACTTGCAGATGGGAATGGCAAGTGGATTAGAAACTTTATGTGGACAATCTTATGGTGCTAAACAATATCATATGCTTGGATTATATCTCCAAAGATCTTGGATTGTATTAACCGTAGCCACGACTCTTCTTTTACCACTGTACATCTTCACCACACCGATCCTAAGAGCTTTAGGCCAGAAAGAAGAGATAGCTAAAGAGGCTGGACTCATTTCTTTATGGTTAATACCTGTGACTTATTCCTTTGTTGCATCATACACATGTCAAATGTTCTTACAAGCACAGAGTAAGAATAAGATTATTACATACTTGGCAGCTTGTACCTTAGCGATTCATATTTTCCTCTCCTGGCTTTTAACCATGAAGTTTAAGTTTGGAATTACTGGTGCTATGATATCTACAGTTTTGGCATACTGGCTTCCTAATATTGGTCAGCTAATGTTTGTAATATGTGGAGGATGTAAAGAAACTTGGAAAGGTTTTTCATCTTTGGCTTTTAAGGATCTTTGGCCAGTAGTCAAGCTTTCTTTTTCTTCAGGTGCCATGCTTTGGTGAGACTCATTCTATAGTTATTTGTTTGTCATACACTCTAAATTTGAGTTTTCCATTTGCATATTTAACCTGAAAAGTGACGGGAGCCTTGGCGTAACTGGTAAAGTTGCTGCCATGCGACCACAAGGTCACCGGTTCAAGCCGTGGAAATAGCCTCTTGCAGAAATGCAGGGTAAGTTTGCGTACAATAGACCCTTATGGTCCGGCCCTTCTCCCGACGCCGCGTATAGCGGGAACTTACTACACCGGGCTGCCCATATTTAACCTGAGTTCTGTAAATGTATATTTTTGGCAGCCTTGAGTTCTGGTACAACAGTATACTAGTTCTTCTTACAGGAAATTTGAAAAATGCTATGGTTCAGATTGATGCTCTTTCTATATGGTAATCTTCTTATACTCCTTTCTCATTTCATTTAGACCTTTTTTACATGCTAACTTCAGCCACCTATTAATAAAGGCTTTGCCCCTCTTTTGCAGCCTTAATATCAATGGTTGGGAAATGATGATATCTCTTGGTTTCTTAGCTGCAGCATGGTAATATAATCAAAGTTAATTATTAATCCTATAAAGTTATCTTTAATTTCTTCTTTATTGAGTGTTTCTCTCATTTCATGTTCACAAACTTCAAGTGTACGAGTGTCAAATGAGCTGGGAAGAGGGAGCGCGAAAGCAGCAAGATTTTCAATTTTGATCACAGCGACAACATCATTTGTTATTGGTTTCCTTCTATTTTTATTCTTTCTCTTCTTGCGTGGACATCTAGCTTACTTATTCACGGACAGTCAAGACGTGGCTAAAGAAGTCCAACAATTGTCTCCTCTATTAGCATTTTCCATACTTATGAACAGTGTTCAACCAGTTCTTTCTGGTGAGACTTCATTTCTTTGATTCAAATTCTAATTCTATGAAAAACATTTTCAATATTTGTGTAAAAAGTTTTGAGATTTCTTGACGCAGGTGTTGCTGTTGGAGCTGGTTGGCAGAGTATTGTAGCCTATGTTAACATAGGCTGCTATTACTTGGTAGGAATTCCAGTTGGAGTTGTGCTTGGTTATGTTTTTAAACTACAAGTTAAGGTGAGTTCTACCATTTCTTTTTCTTCTTTCTCTCTGTTGAAAAAGTCTGGTAGGGTTTTTGTCTAAGATATCTACTGGAAATATTGTGTCTTACTATTCCTCTTTTTAGTGCCGGACATATTTACTAGCTATCGCTTTTGCTTTGCATCTTTCTTCTGGATTTCATGTTGTTCCTATTTTTCCTATGATTTCTGTGGTGATACGGATATTGTCTCATTTTATCTTTTTGTCTTCTTGAGCCGAGGGTCTTTTGGAAACGGCCATTCTACTCCTTCGGGATAGGGATAAGGTCTGCGTATACACTAACCTCCCCAGACCTACTAGTGGAATTTTACTGGATTGTTATTGTTGTTGTTCCGTTGAAAAAGTCTTTTTTCTTGTTACTAAATGACTTACCCTTTTGGAAAATGTCATAGGGTGTTTGGGTTGGAATGATTTTTGGTACACTGGTCCAGACTATTGTACTACTTATAATCACTTTGAAAACTGATTGGGATAAACAGGTACTATATTATCATCTTCATTTTATTTTGAGCTATGGATTTATTGCCTTGGAACAACTACATAATAATGAAGCAATTTCTCACTCATTATTAAAATATTGTCTGCAGGTTTTACTTGCTCAGCAAAGAGTGAAGAGGTGGCTTGTAGAAGCTAAAACAAATGCTGATTCACAAATTGCTTGAAGTTAGAAAAGTTCCTATGTGTTAGGAATAATTTGTACATTGGATGCCCATATGAATAGTTTAAAAATTAAATCTCCTATTTTATGTCAATCACCTTTACTTTTTTATGCCTATAAAAGGTCATGTAATTGCAATGTAAACACACACCAAAGTGAAAGAAGAATAGACTTCTTCCTTCTTTCTATCTCTTCTTATTTACATTTTACTGCATTGCTTTTATTTTATAACACGTTATCAGTACGAACTCTAACCAATTAAGTTACATTTGTCTACAAATTTTTACTATATTCTCATAAATATACTATAGCATATTCATGTTGTAAGAATAACTTTCTTTTTCTGCTTTGTTCTTTTCCTTATGTGTGTGGTCAAATATGAGATATGTTGGATTAAGAATAAGTTGAAATTAAGAAGATTTCACATTCATGTTTTAAGAGATAGACTTGTTCCTTTTTTTTAGCAATTGTATCCTTCATAAATTTTTATTCCTAATGCTTAATGCATCATTTAATCTAAGAAATAAGCATTGGTTGGATTTTTCATCTCTGGTATGAACAGAATTAAAGCATGTTATAGAGTGGTATATGTGTCTCTTTCTTTGTTTGCATGAAATAAGTATGGATCCTATTATTAATTAAATTGTAGAATAAAGTATTAATTAGCAGCGGATTATAACCGCTTTTATCGTTGGTAGACATAACTTATTTCATTATATAATAAAATGCAATCTCTTGATATTCGATATATGATTTATGTGTGCTTTTCATAATTTCCAGAATGTATGTGCATTGCATTAGACTATTGAAATTTGATTATGCAAAATATTTTATTCTATTTTATTTATATGACTAAAAGGATCAACATATATTGTCTACCATGAAACTGGTTTCCTTTACAATTAATAAGGGAGACAAATTTTCTTTAACAAAGTTTTTTGTTGAGCAACTCAAGAAGTATAGTATCTATTTCTCTTAAATATTGTAGTAAAATACGATTATTGAAAGTTGTGTTTGTATGATAAATGCCTTCAAGTCATAGCACACCATGAGAGTGGTGCGCCGTGATAATACGATTTTGGGTTAGAATTTCAATGCCCTGTGGCTTAACATGCTTTTATAAGGGTAAGACATTGAGTTTGAGTCTCAATTTATTATGACCTAATATGTCTTTATATTTGTAAGACATTGGGCTTGAGTTCCACTGTACCATGTTGATGATATAATGATGATTAAAGAAAAATAATATATTTTTTATGAAAAGTCATAAATATTTTTCCACTTGATTTGCTCCATTCTTGAAGTGAATATGGTAGCTGGCATAATAAATCTAAATAGAGACAAGTGGTTGACGAATGAATATTGTTGTGACAAATGAAAAAAAAAATAATAGTCATCATTATGGTAATTATAAAAAGGGAGAACAATAATGATTCTCAAAAACATATCCTCGAAAAGGTGAGGGTAATGTTTACCATCAAATTGATATGGACAAATAATAAAATACATCGCTATGATTATGCTCCATTATTGGAAGAGAATGTGACTTGTGATAAATATTGAGAATGCATCCTAATTCATGACAGTGAATGTGGCAATGCCTAGTGCTTTTTTCCACATCCCATTGTCCCTATACAGTTCAATTATTTTACTATACACAAAAGAATTTAAACGATAACTTTCTCTCCTCATTTTGGAGACAATCGACCAAGTATCCTCCAATCGCCCAGCATTGACATAATACTCAAGCAAGATCTCATAAGTTTCTTAGTTTCTCTCAACATCCAAATCTTCAAGTAACATCAAGACCTTATCTGCTAGCCTTAAGAGGCCTTTTCGCAAGAAGCTCCGAAGTAACGTATTGACCACCTTTACCCCTGGCCTGCGACCAGAAGATAACATTTCATGAAAGGTTGCATCAGCTTCCAAGGTCCTGCCAACACTTCCAAGAGCAGCGATCAAACTGGAATAAGACAAATAATTTGCATGAAAACCCAAAGCCTCCATCTGGGAAAGCAACCCCATTGCCTTATCAACGTCACCTTCACTACACAACTCACAAATGGATACATTGTATAAATCATAAGAAATCTCCTCACCATTTATATGAAAACCCTGCTGCTCATTACTCGAGTAGTCAATGCTTCCAAAACGACAATTAACTAAAAAGCCACATCTTTTAGCTCTACTTTGCAATATAAGCTGAATTGACGTATGTAGCATCTTGCGTTTGATTGGATCAACGTGATGCTTCAGATAAACAGGGATAAGATCCCACACACCATGAGGGCATATAGCTGGACTGGATCTAAAAAGAAGATTTTGTTGCATTTGCATACTCTTTTGTAGGAAGTATGCTCGCTGCAACTAAAAATGGTTAGAGAGCCATTGCTATTAAAGAACTGTAATTTGTAAAGGAAATATGTATTCTTTCTTGCTATATCACACAATCTTAACAGGTAGCAAATGCAAAATTCTCCAGCGAACTGATGAAGTTAGCCCCAATAGGTTATTCTGCCACCAGGAGAGATTACATCCTTTTTGCTTCGACTAACTTCAGAAGTAAAATAAAATCTGTGGCTGCTAAGCTCCAAAGTATATATATATATATATATATATATATATATATATATATATATATAGCCCCTCCATTTCAATTTTATGGTAGTATTTGACGAGACACGCAGTTTAACAAAGAAAGACAGATTTTTTAAACTTGTGGTTTTAAACATGCTACAACAATTCTATGACAAGCATGCTATTAAGGATAAAAAGAAAATTTTGAAATTAAATTGTTTCCAAATAGAGAAAAGTATTGAAACATACTAATTCGAAAATAGACCCACATAAAAAGGAATATAGGGAGACAAGGAGTAACAAAATTGCTAACTACAGCCCCCCCCCCCCCCCCCC